TCCTACGAGCTGCCCCCCGACCCGGATGCCGACCCAAGCACTCCCATCCAGTACGGCAAGGGCAAGTGGGACATCGCCCTGGTCTCCTTCTACACCGTCGTGCTCTCCTTTACGCGCGAGTTCATCATGCAGGAGATACTGCGCCCGCTGGCCCGGTACTGTGGCCTCAAGTCGAGGGGCAAGCAAGCCCGCTTCATGGAACAGATGTATACCGCCGTGTACTTTGGTGTCCTGGGGCCGGCCGGCATGTACGTCATGAGCCGGACGCCCATCTGGTACTTCAACACCACGGCTATGTACGAGAACTTCCCTCACAAGACGCACGACGCCTACTTCAAGTTCTACTACCTCTTCCAGGCTGCCTACTGGGCCCAGCAGCTCATCGTCATGCTGCTCGGCATGGAGAAGCGCCGCAAGGACTTCAACCAGCTCGTTGGCCACCATATCGTGAGCCTCATGCTCATTGGCCTCAGCTACCGCTTCCACTTCACCTACATGGGGCTCGCCGTATACATAACCCACGACATCAGCGACTTCTTCCTCGCGGTAAGTCTATCTAGCCATTTCTCTGTGCCCAGACACAGGAGAAGGCTCCTTATCAAATACCACATCTCAGGTCCTCTAAGCAAGAATTGACGCTAACGAAGCAATCTCTTGATGACAGACCTCCAAGTCCCTGAACTACGTGGACCATATATTCGTTGGCCCTTACTTTTTCGTCTTCATGTGCGCGTGGATCTACCTGCGGCACTACCAGAACCTGCGTATCATCTGGTCCCTTTTCACCGAATTCAAGACGGTGGGCCCCTATGAGCTCAACTGGGAGACTCAGCAGTACAAGTGCGACCTGTCCTTCTTTATCACGCTGGGCCTACTCGCATCCCTGCAGGCCCTCAACCTCTTTTGGCTCTTCTTCATCGTCCGCATCGCCTACCGCTTCGTCGTCTACCAGACCGCTGATGATGACCGGTCCGAGGCCGAGGACTCGGAACTCGAGGAGCAGCAGCAGCAGCAGTCAGAGGTGGCCAACAGCAAGAAGCAGCCACTCAAGACCATCAAAGAGGGGAGCTCCGAGGACGTAACCGCGCTCAATGGGAATGCAACTGGAGTCTTGGCTGCCAACGGAAGTATCAAGAACCGCGCGAATGGGTCTGCCGCGCCGAAAAGAAAGTCGGTCCGGTAGGCCCCTTCTACGCAGTACCCTGACTGACCTCGATGTCTGACGCCCCCTTCACGACATTCGCTTGTACATTTTGTTTATCTTATTTTTTTATTCTCCCATCACACAAACTTTCTTCGACCTCTCTTCGCCCCTTAGCTTCTTCTTTTTTCTTGGAAAGAGCTTGTACAATATTATACGGGAGAAATTTCAGCATACAAACTTCTTGACATGAACGTGACACGACCCAGAGTCGGGATATGACGAGGTGAAGCCAAGTCGAGCTTCCATTGTCTGAACCGGAAGGAAGAGACACCACTGCATGAATTAGGTGGTTACGGCGTTGAAAGAAATGGGGGTTGGTAATGATGGCCGTGGAGGGGGGTTCGGCGCGGCACGGAGCGAAGTCGCTGTGACCCCTGAAATCTTCGGCTCATACGAAACGGAACGGAACGGGGTGTGTATAGGTGTGGGTGTGGGGGTGTGTGGGTGTGTCTATAGGTTGAGGTTTGGGATTCTCAATTGCTTGTTGATGTGTGCTGTCTGCGCTTTGGGTAAGCAGCAGGGGCGTCAAGCCAGATACGAGTAAGAAAGAAGAAGAAGAGGAAAGAAGAAGTAAGGAGTGGTGTACGTGCACAATTGATGGGGAGGGAGTGTTCCCTCCTCAACCGAAGGATATAATATGTACGTACCTACTGCGGACCTCTACAGAAAGAAAGAAAAAGAAAAAATACAACACAACATAATAATCAACCAAAGCGTCCGGTTTGGCTGACTGACTGTCTTAAGTGGTTGGTGATTGATCCGTCTACTACCGTGAGAGCGAGTGTGTGTGTGTGTGTGTGTGTGTGTCATCCGAGAAAAGGGGGGACGAATCACTTGGGCATTTACATCATGGAAGCAAAATCGAAATAATTTTTGAAATGGTGGAACGGTATTTTTGTCTTGTTTTGTTTTGGTGGTAGAAAATATTGAATGAAGATGCTCATTATGGTTATTCCCGCTTTCTTTCTTGCTTTCTTTCTCTTTTTATTCATGATACCTATCTAGGGCTCTGGAAGCCGAGATGTCTCGAGTTATTATTCTATCTAGGCTAGGACGGTGAGAAACGTGGCACGCCGTTCCTTGTGTTTCTTTTTTCTTTTTCCCCCCTATTCCCTTTTGCCCAGTTCTTAAGAGTCTGAAATGATAAGTTCGAGCTTTGTATCATATGCATCTTTCTTACGGCCCTTCACTTTGCTTCGCTGGCTTTGCTGATTCAAGTGGTGGGTGAAGAGAGGTGGTTTGTTATTTTGTTGTCTGGATATCCTCGCTTTCCCTCGCAGCAGCCCCCCACCCCTTTTTTCTTGTGAGACGTACAGGGGTCCAGAGAATCGGGACAACCTCGTAGCAGTATGTCCTCGTCGTGGCTCTCGTCTTTGGGATTAACCTCCCAGGTACCTGAATTCTTTGTTCCTCATTCAGGATCTCGGAAAATCGTCAAGGGTTTCGCTGCGGGAGAGGAGGGTTTGCTTCGTTACTTTCTAGGAGAGCCCTGCTCAGAATTGCATGAGGTATGATAGATGACATCGGGGGCGCTCTCCTTAGGTAGACAGGAAGATGTTGAATACTCAGCACCATGTCGCTGTCTACGGAGGTTTGTGTGTTATCTAGTATATCATGTTGGCTACTTTCAATACAAGAGAGCTTCTTTCCAGCCATCAGCACAGGTACATAGGGTGAGCGACGTCAAGCTGAGCTTCACACAAGGTAAGACAATAGGACTGTAACAACGAATGCATATTGTACGGCTTAGATCTTGTTACTGGTCCAACAAGGACTGTGTGGAAGAGGGTAATTTACAATTCCTGCATTGTCCCAAGGCTCAAAAGGCTTCTTATTAGTTAGAGTCCATGAACACCTTTTCATATGTATACAGAATCCACTGCACTCTACGGGCTTACCAACGCCAGGGATACTAAAACACTTGCGCAAAATGACCACGCCCCCGAGCAAGCGTCAGGCCCAAAAACTACCTCTCAATGTCCTGTACGGAGAATTTCCAGCACCTCACGATCAGAGACCAAGTGGGCTTGAGCTGTGCGGACAAAGGAAGGACCTCAACACGCTCGTTCCCGACCCTGAAAGAGAGCCGTCTTCCACGAGGACATCAGCAATCGCTAAGGTGCCCTTCGAACACGCCAGCAAGACCGGTGATGTGAGGAGGCTGTCCGAAGCTCCACCAGATGACTCAGTCGACGGATCGCTCGCTCCTGACACGGTGGGGCAAATGGAAGGGATCCCTCTATACCATGGCCACACTCTTCACGTGGATCAATATGGCGGCGGCTGTGAAGCAGCAGCCGCGTTGCTTGCCTGGCTGCTCGACCTCGTGCCTTCGCGGGCGACCTCAGCCCGAGCATTCGCTACACAGGAGACTCGGTGGGCCGAGATCCCCGCATTTATTCCTGCTGTTCTGGATCGTTGTAGTGGAAGACAGAGTCGAGCCACATGGGGATCGTCCTGCTCAACCAACCGGAAGCGCGTCCTCCCGTTCGACGAGGTCGAACCTGGGCCGATGGAGTAACTTTGTCTACTGGGCCCCGTTCAGCGGCCCATGGCCAGACTCTTAGTCAAGTACATCGGCACGCCCCGTGTTTATCTCAGGCGCATTCGCAAGGGGCCAGGCCCGAAGTGCTCGATGAGCTCGTCAGGGGAACGGAGTCCTGGACACCGAACGGCAACGATCCGAATGACGGCTTCAGGACGCCTCTGCTCGCGGCTTGCTACCAGCCTCCGACCGGAGGGTATCAGGAACTTGATCAGGGCCCCGGGGGGGCGTTTCGTCGGGTCTTCGACACGTACCGGTACAACAAGAAAAGTGGCGAGTTCGAGACACCCGAGGTTTCGTCGTTGTCGTCGTCGTCGTCTTCCACAGCCTTGAAGGACAGCATGAGGCATCTCGGCAGTAGGGACCTCCGGCCGCGGATAAGGAGGACTGGGATACTGGCTGGCTCCCCCCAGGACAACTGAACGGGTCGTTAAAGCCCAGCAGCCGGCCCTGATTCATTCTGGGCGCCCGTGCAAACCTTCAGTGACAGAAGGCAAGGCTTACTATATATCACTAGACCGCCGACATCCCCTGTAAACTTCCCACCAAGAAATCTTATTTACTAGCAAAACACTATATTTCTAAATAATTCTTATTAATCAAATAAAATAAGGATAAATAATACAAATAAATATTACTAAAATTAAATGATAAAATATCTATTTTATTAGTAAATTAAAAATTTAAAAAATTTAGTTTTATTTTATTTAAATTAATAAAGTTAAAAGATAGCCCTTAACATTTTTATATATAATTTATTAGAAAAAATGTTAAAGAAATAATTTTTAACTTTATTAATTTAAATAAAATAAACCTAAATTTTTTAATTTTTTTAAAAAAATTCTAAAATAATATTTCATTAATAATCTTTTAAGTTTTATTAAAAATTGATTTTTATCTATTTTTATCTATTTTATTCGATTTATTATTATAGTTTATATTTATAGTGTTTTGCTAATAAACATGATTTTTTTTGGTGGTGGCTTTATTGGGGCTGTCGGGGGTCTAGTGACAGATAGTAGATAAGTAACGCTAGGTACAGGTAAGTACGCATTCATTCCATACCCTTCATATATCCTTCATATATCTACATACAAGTTTGCGTGGACAGAGCCGCAAGAAGACCAACCTCTAAATGAAAAGGTTTGCAGGCACAAACGAAGTCTATTCAATATATCGTGTCTTGAGTACGAAGTATATAATGGGTTTTGTAAGAGAGTATGTTCATCTGACCAATCAGGAATCAGCCAAGCATTAGTGGTTTAGTGGTAAAATTCGTCGTTGCCATTCACATTCGAGTTGAAACTCGACGAGCCGGGGGTTCGATTCCCTCCTAATGCAATGATTTCATTCCTTTTTTTCATCTGAAGAAAACAGAGCTTTGATTCCTTCTCTTTTGCTTCTTTTGCTTATTTGCAGTCCTTTGCCTTGCTTGTTGGCTTTGCTAGAATAATACGAGGTGAAGAGCTGCTGTATTGAATAAGCTAGCTTACATGCCTGCCAGCCTTTCTGGGATCAAACCCCCTTTCTTTTTTCCACATGACACTTTTCACGACACAGATAGAAAATAGGGGCGCCAACCTTTGAGAGCCTCCTTCCAAGCGATCCCCCTGTTCTTCATCTGTGACAAGAAGAAGAGGGTAGAAAGCTTTCCAGGATATCGAGCTTCGGGGACACACAGTGTACCTAGAGAGCTCGTGAACTCTCCCTATCCCCATCCCCAGGGCTGACACACATCTTGCCGTCGGCTCGTATGAACAGAGAAAACACTGCGCCCCGGCCCCCCAAACCTGCTTATTGCCTCACAACCCTTGATGTCTTAGAATCCTACACATCCCAACTTCTCCAGAGTGCATCACGAACCTGCCGGACCGTCGCGTCGGTAAGTATTCAGGTGCTCCGCCCCTTGCATACCCACACCGGAGATAACTCGCCCTCGACAACATAACATCTCCCATCTGTCCGGCCCTGTACTAAGTATATATACCTATACTGTATATCATCACACCACCTTCATCCCCGAGAAACATACCATAATGTGACCTCGGCCTGGCGGTTGCTTATTTATAGCCCATCCTCTCCTTTCCATCTCTCCGTTTCAGCGAACCTAATAAGTAAGATCCGCAGCAGCGAAGACTGACATCTTATCGACTCTGTCTAAGTACACTCGCACCATCACCATCACCATCACCACCACCACCGCCGCCGCCGCACCCAACGAAACCAAGCCAACCCAATCCAGCCCACCTTTGTGACCACAGCCTCGGACGCTGCAAGGAAGACGAAGGGAGGTAACAAGGAGCTTCGCAATGCCTACCATCACCCCTTTTCTACTCACACCTGACCCCAATTTGCCCCATTGCCCTTCCTTCTTCACCTCCCGTAAAGTCCCGGCTGTCAAATTGAGTCTATTTTTTTTCAGGCCTCTGCTAGGTACCTAGGTATATAGTCCTAGTCTGATTAGATACATCCAATTGATCAACTTCTAGCCTACCTTTTTTTTCTTCTCGCCCTGCCAGACTGACCCTACCTGCATAAACAAAACTAAGAAAAAAAAAAGAAGAAAAAAAAAGCCCCCAAATAAGGGAAGTGTACCTATAGTTAGGTAGATAGATCCCAGGGGGCTAGGTTTAGGTAGTTAAGTAAGGTAAAGCTAGCTAGCTAGCTAAACTAGGTAGTGAGTGACTTGTCCGGTAGGTAGGTTCGCGGTACCTTGCATGCCTATATATCTACTAGTTACCGGTTGCTCGACTATCTCTCGATAGATATATTTTCATTACCTAATGTCACGAGGGGAAGACACATATACACACACACACACATACACACACACATAGCCAACCTCGTATTTTATATTCATAGCCCGTAACTACCCGCCACCACCACACACACACACACACACGTTTACCCGCGCACACGCGACCAACTTGTTCCACCATTCTAACGCTTACACCTAAAAAAAATTAAAAAGACCCGACAGCCAACCAACTAAGCGGACACCAGAAGAGAAGAACGCCAAGATCCACTTTATTTGGATAAAAAAAGGGGGGGGGGAAGGAGGCGCCGAGAGGGTGAGAGGCCGGGAGGACCCCTAATTATGAAAAAAAAAAAAAAAACCTTATATACCTAGGTACTTACTTATTTACTTACCCACCCTGTTTATCTATTTGGTTTCCCTTAAGGTAATTAATATTCTAGTCTACCTAGGTACATATTTACAAGTAGGTAGACACTATATCGTCTTTGTGTGTAAAGAACAAAGCAACCGGCAGATTGGGGAAGGGGGGGGGGTTCCCAGAACTGGATCCCAGAGGGCTTATGAGTTGTTAAGGTAGTTCATCAAACTGGGAGCCCCTGGCTTGATAGATTTTCCGATTGTCACAATTGTCATAATGAGTTAGACTGCTTTGATGACAGGCGCGCTAGGAGTACCTGGAAACCATTTCAATGTTTTGCCATCTAGCAAAGTACTTCATCAAACGTCTCAAGAATTCATGGGTCCCAAGAGTACCAAAATTGGAATGGTGAGAACTAGTATTCTCAGAGGCTGGTTGTCCATTCAACTGTCTGTCTGTCTGTCTGTCTGGCTTGTTTGTCTTCACCTCCGAGCCTCTCGTCGTGAATAGGCACACAAGCGCAACACCACCTCTCCGCCCTCTAATCATGCATGCCCTCGCCAAATGCAGGTCATCATTCATCAGGCTACAACACCGATGCTGTAGCCATTCATTCGTCATCCGTAAAGTAGCCATAGCAAAAAGACAGACAGAGCTGGCAAAAACATGAACGGACCGACAAGAGGCAAGGTAACAAAAAACAAGACCCTGCGCAAAAGAGCATGTGTCCTTCCTTCCTTTCCTTTCAGCCTTTCCTCCCTGGCTTGCCGAGTCGAAACATTCGTCCATCCGCCGAGCTCCGTTTTGATTTTTTTCCCTTCCCTCTTCCAACACAGGCGAAGAGGGTACCAAAATGACCTTAGTCCGGGTGAAATTATTAGAACAACGAAACAACGTCTTTGGTATCGTCGCGAAACGAAATTATTGCAAATGCTATGCCTCCGTCCAGCCTCTAACACACAGAGAAGGATCTTTTTCTGTAATATGCCCTGCCGCCAACGCCTCCTGGAATGCAATCCCCGTATGCCGGGTGTTTTTTGGGAATGAAAGTTGATTACCAAGTCGTATAGGTGTATATATATGCGCGAGTCGGTGGAAACTGAGTATGCCAACGAGAGTTCGATCTCACAGTGGCCGAATCGAAGTAAAACGAAAATTAGGATTAATGAGTCGGTCTTGTGACTATTCAACGCGGGTGTTGTGATGCTTCTGGTGGGATGTTCTCGTGCTGGTTATTGCCGGGTCGCAACGGGGCTGTAGACTCGTCGGACGAGCTACTCGAGTCATCATTGCCACCAGTGGACGGCTGATGATCATGATATTCGCCGCTAGCGGTCAGGATGTTTGCTTTCCTCATCATCTTATTGGCTTTTTGGAGCGCAACTCGGGCATCCTCCGCTGCCTTCTCCGCCTTAGCCTGCTTGTTCCACATAGAGGCATAGCGGCCGTTTAACTGCAAGAGCTTCTCATGCGTTCCTCGCTCGATTATAGTACCCTGATTCAGTACCAGGATCTGATCCGCATGGGTGATCGTAGAGAGCCGATGCCTGGTGCCAGTTAGTGAAAAGTCCTATGATCCGAAAAAAGGCTTCCAGCGGGACTTACGCAATAATGAGCATGGTACGACCACGGCCGATGGTGGAGAGTCTGGACTGAATCTGTTGCTCGGTGTGGGTATCAAGAGCCGAAGTTGCCTCGTCAAGCATGATGATCTTGGGATTTTTGAGCAGCGTCCGGGCTATGGCGACTCTCTGCTTTTCGCCACCGCTCAGTCGAAGGCCACGCTCACCAACCTTGGTATGGTAGCCGTCGGGAAACGTCATGATCCTGTCATGAATGCTGGCAGCTTGACAGGCAGCAATGACGTCGTCATCAGATGCTTCCTGATTGGCATACTTGAGGTTGTACATGAGAGTATCATTGAACAGAATCGTGTCTTGCGGTACAACGCCTATGAAGCGTCGGAGAGAATCGATAGAGATGTCCTTAACATCCCTGCCATCGACTCTGATGGAACCAAGCTGGGGGTTGAAGTAGCGGTACATCAATCGGAACATAGTAGACTTGCCTCCGCCCGATTCGCCCACCAGAGCGGTTGTTGTACCAGGCTCGCATGTGAAGGTAAGATTTCGCAAAGCAGGCTTTCTCTTGTCGTAGGCGAATTTGACCTTAGAAAATTCGACATGGCCTTCGCAAGATTCTACCTTGGCCGCACCAGGACGATCGACAACGCTGGGACGCTGTTTGAAGAGTTCCAGAAGACGCTCTCCAGAGATCATAGCTTGCTGAACGGTGCGGTAGAATGTGCCAAAAAAGTTGAGCGGCCCCTGAAGCTGCCCGAGGTAGGTCATAAGCGTGACAAAGTCGCCGACTTTGCGTTGGCCCTGGGTCACTTGGTAAGCACCAAGCATCATGGCGACAAGCATACCGATCATGAAGGTCACAGACTGGAATATGTTCATGAGACTGATACTCCAAGTGACCTTCGCCTCAGCCGTCTGGAAGTTGTTTATGGCCTGTCGGTAACGATTGAATTCGAAGTCCTCGGCATTGAAATATTTGACCGTCTCATAGCTGATGATTGAGTCGTTCTTGACTGCTTCTTCCTCTCGGTCGGCGTTGGACATCTCCCTTCGCTGATCGGCAGTCTTTGACGCCATGCGCACAGTGAGCACAAGGTAGTAAAACGTCACGGCAGACACGATGACAGCATAAGTGGCGTCAAATCTGACATAGAAGTAGCTGATAGCCACAAACAGATCAACGAGCATGGGAAAGACCTGGAAGGTGACCTGTTCGAGGAATGCATTGACCGATGAGCCCTTGTTAAGTGCTGAAAGGACCTCTCCAGTCCTCTTTCCCAGGTGGAAATCGAGACTCAGTGAGTGTACATGCTCAAATGCTGACGTAGTGAGAGCCCTGTACGTGTGCTGAGACACCGGAATCCATAAAAGTGATCGGAAGGACCCAAGCAGGCCAGATTGTCCCTGGAGTAACTTGTACATGATGAGCAGGCCAAGTGAGCCCCACGGCATGGTCAGTCTTTCGCCGTGTTCCAGATCATCACCTGAAAGCTTGTTCGTGACAATACCAATCTGGAAGGGCACCATGATGTTGACCCATCTTTGCAGAGCCAGAAGCACGAAACAAACGACCACTATGACCTGCAGCCTCGTCTCCTTGCTGGGCCACATGTACGGGAAGAAGACAGAATAACCTCGGAGG